TGAGATCCTCCACATTCTTTTTCACCTCTGAAGACTTGATTTTATCTTCATAACACCACGATCTGGCTTTTCTTGTGGGCACAAACATTCAACATTTCGGCATATAGGAGGGCGGCAAATATTTTTCCAGACTCATCTCTGGGACTTCTTATACACGCTGAGAGTGCGATAGAGAATTAAAATCCTAATAATAAATAATAAATGTTGTAACAGCTTAGTAGGACGATACTGAAGATTTATTTGTCATGACACTTGTCAGGATTGCTGGAAAATAAGGTTACACACTTCATTTCCTTTATCAATAATAAATGTTACTATAATTTGAGAATTATTGAAGGAAGTTAGTCGACTGTTCTTCATATCATGGATGATAAATAGTCAGCACGCAGTCAATTTTCAAGATTTTTTAACCAACGTTTCGGTCTAAACTTGTGGCTCTTCATCAGAGCACTGTGGCGAATCCAGGATTGTTCTGTGAGGAGGGGGGCACACTTGCGAAACAGGTGAAATCCATACATCAAATGTACATGTAAATTTGTATTTTAGTTTTTTATTTCGTTATTTATTCGTTATTCAGTATTTTGCCATAAAGTGGCGGTCGAAATTCCTCAACTGGACAAATGACATCTATGAATCTGAAACACGATATTTTTGCTTAATTGTTTCCTTAAATTAAATATACAATAATTTCTAAGGGATCAGAGCACTTTAGCAAATATTTTAAGCTACAATATTCAGCTATTTCGCCAATAAATGAAGAATGTTTAATGTAAATATTCAAATCTTTTAAATTACTCGTTGTTTTTTAGTACAAATCATAAAAAAAAAAAATGTCTTTGATACGTTCCACTTTTCGATTAAAATGATAATAATAATACAAGTGCCGGTTTAGGTACTTCTTTCAAGATAAAATTGTTCTCATCTTCCAGGAGGGGGCGGCTCTCCCCTGGATCCACTAGTGTCAGGGCATGACGACCCATAAACTTGGGTTAAAACGTTGGAAGTAAAAATTGACTGCGCCAGGACTATCTATCACTCATGATATAATTTAAGAAGTAGATTGATACTGATCCAAAAAAAATTCGAAAACATGTGTGACATTTAAAAAATTGGTCAACTGCTTAAGATTAATTCATAGATATCGATATACCTAGTCCTGTGATAAATATTGTTACAAGGAAATATATACAGATTTTATAAGGAAAATTACTTTTTTCAAAAAAACTTATTAGAAAATAGAATGTATATTTATAGAGAGTAAAACAAAAAAGAAATTACCCCTTTTTGCCTTGTAACAGCCATTTAATCTCCGTGGCCAGTCATCAATAGTAGCACGCAGCACTTCTTCAGAAATGCGCTCAACTGCTCTGACCAAAGATTATTTGAGGCTTTCCGAGTTAGGGTGTGCTCTGTGGCATACCATCCTCTCCAGTTCGGACCAAAGCCGATAATCTAGTGATTTGAGATCAGGTCTTCCTGAGGGCCAATCCGGGTAAAGATGAAGTCTGGAATGTTCTTTTGCTGAGTTGACCTGGGCTTGTGAGCTGGAGCGGAATCCTGCTGGAAAACCCAATGACTTCCAGCAAACAGAGTATCATTTAAAGGGTTGGCAACAGGTTCAAAAATATCGTCCTTATAATTTTGCTGTTTTAACCCCCTTATTCACAAAAATGGAACTTTAGGGTACCATCAAAGCAAACTCCCCACCAAACCATGACTGAGGAAGGGTGATGACCTCTTTTCACTCTTCCAATGACTTCCTGGGCTTCCTTTGAGCTGTGCACGATCATTTTGGTGATTATATTTTTCTTGAATTGTTAAAATTTTCTCATCGCTAAACAATATCTTCCGATGAAGACCATTGATGTTACGGCCAAGGAACACTTTGCATCTATCCACTCTAATTTTTTTAGGGAAGTGGTTAGCCTTTGTCCTGCCATTCTTCAAAATGCACCCATCCTCTAACGCTACCGTTTATTAGGCGAGACATTGATCATGATTTTTATGGCTAACTCCCATAAAAATTACCCTATAAATTTAAACATCCTACATTTCTCGAAGAGAAAGGATTCTCGGATGTAAGACAGATATCCTTCTCAGCAGAGCATCCCATGCCACATATTTTCAATTGGGTTTAATTCTGATAAACACGAAGATGAAGGAAGATAGCAAACCCTAAATTTAATAGTGTATTAGAACATAAAACTTTGTTCAAGGAAGTTTCCGAACATTCGTAATAGTAGGTGATGATTTTCTCTGAGTTTCACTCACATCGACGTGAAAGGTTGCTCCACTGAAAAGTACCAATGTAGCAATGAATGGAGATTTTTTCCTCCCCTTCTTCGTACCATCGGAGTATTTTTTTTTTCAAGATAGTAATCACATAAAGTTATAATATGTATGAAAGAAAATTGAGACTTCTCAGTTTATTATTTCCTTTTTATTAATACAGTTTTTTGGGGGGGTTTGTGTCCCTTGTTCAGTATTTAGTGAACTTAGGGATAATTCTCCCCTAATTGCCACTCATCCTGGTAAATCATTCACAAAGAAAATTCTGAATTTATTTTTTACAACTGACAATTGGTCATATCTCCCATTGCTCTTGAGCAACAAATCATTGTTGTCGATGACTTAATATCTCTGCTGATCCAATTAGAGGAGCTGTTATACAAACTTTCCATAGCGATTTCGAATGGTTGATTGGATATTGGATGCTCAATAGAAAGTTAGAAGTTGTTAACCATACTGACCAGCTGTCAAAATATGATGTATTTATCCTGTCTAAAAGCAATAAAACATTAGTATCTACTTTCTGGTCTTCTGACTTAATTTTTCCCTTGATTTTTATTTTATTATTATTATTTTTGTTTAATGTTTTCTGTCTTTTCCACAAGACATATATTGTGAACTTCTGTCTTTCTTTTTTTCTATATCGATGAAGGAAAAATTTCAGTTTTATTCGTAAAGTCTACTTTAGAAATTCATTATTAATTTAATTACAAGTGTTTGTGAACCAATAGAAAGATTTTTCAACTTCGCAAAAAAAAAAAAAACATATTATACTTTTCATCGAATTTATCAAATTTTCTTTTCCAAAATAGATGCTTCAAAAACTGATTTCTTTAAAGTCTTGGAATTTTCGAAGAAAACCAGACTGGATAAATATTGGCTTTCACGTTGAGAATGAATATATTTTAATAATAACGGACGATTGTCTCTCCGAAATATGGAATCATCAATTTCAATAATTACCTAGCACTAAGCAAAAAAAAAAAAAAAAAATTTGGAAATAAACTTAACTGCTTAAATCATGTTTATTGCTTACGGCATTGTATTTTAATAATATAAAAATTCATTCAATAACGAAACACAAATTTAAAAAAAGTTAAGAAAAAAAAATTTATCGACTCATGAGATGTTATTTAGAAACGCAACTATTGGTTATTATGTGCTCAGAGCCTGAACTTTGATGATACATAATTATTAAAACATATAATGTAGGTAAATGAAATGGAAATTTGTGTTACTTCCTCTTTGTGAGTCAATGTTTATGAAAGTATATGTGTTAAGAATACTTTTAGCCAATATTGCTTAATTTTCTTTTATTTAGGTTTTTTGTTTTTTTATAATTTTTCAAATTGTAGAACTGGTATGCATAAAATTAATGATAGATTCGATGGGTGGAGTGTTAGCTAAGCGGATGCTTTTGCCTTACCTTCACTTCCGCTTCCTTTGTTATCTTCCCGCATATGTTTTGTTAGGTGGCCATAGCTGCTGGCTGTTCATCTCATTCATGTCGTCTGTACTATCGAATCAAATCATTCTAGGTGCATTTTATTTTTTTTATTATCTTTGTATGTAGTAAATTTGTTAAGTAATATTAATTACGTAATTAGTAGTAACTAGCCCTTGCAATTTAATCAAATTAAAATAATATAAATTTCAGACCCAATATTGTCTTAACACATTTTCAGATTAAATTTAATACGTTATATTTATTACTTTATATTACAAGACCCTTCAAAAGAGAAAGTTGATTACGGAGACGAAAGGACTGGCAAAGAGACAGTTGGTGTGTTTATCAAAGTGGCATCAAGATGTTCTGAAAAAGCATGATTTATCATCTGGATGTGTTTGTTTAGGATAAATAGTTTAATATAAAAAGAACACAGTGAGCAATTATAGATCATCTGCTTTCATTACACATAGTGCTTTGTCCGTGTTTACTATTTGCGTTTATTTTCATTTAGTAATATTCCCTTTACCTCATTGCCACGTTGTATTGCTTCTTGCTCCTGAAACTTTATATAAATATACAACCAATTTATTGAAAATAAAATAATAAATAGATGAAAATTGGTAGTTATTAGATGTTTTTACACGTCTGCACTCTTATTCTCACCTCATTTTTATATTATTATTTATTAGATTATAGTCTTGATTATTCTTAATTAATTATTTTGTTATTACTTCTTGCCCATAGGTCTAATTTAATAAAATCAAACGCTCGTAACTTATTGTGTTTTCATTATCATTTTTATTTGGACGTTTTAAGAGATACTTTATCATCCTCTTCAGCATCTTGAATTATATGATTAATAAATTATAGGTTCTATATTAAACTAGTCATTTACATTTCTTTGAAATTGATAACGTTTTTAATTTAATTTAAACATTTTTTCCTAATATTGGATTTGTTCTTAAACGAGTTTGGTCAAAGGCCAAACACTCTATTAAATAAAAAGGGACGAAGTACATTTAGAAATACGGAAGTAAGCATAAAGTTCTTTATTTTCTTTTTTTAGATTTTTTTTTCTTAAATATATTTAATAACTTTACTTAATTATTTTTTTATTATGATAAATTACAAGTTCATATTTAGTTCAATTAGATCTTTAGGCAAGAAGTAAGGAGAGAAAAAAATTTAAATTATTTTTTTTTTATTTCACTGTAATTTTTTATAACGTTTCATTTTTTTAAAATATCAATTTTGATTTCAGGCTCATCGTCACGTTAACGATTTGTTCACTGATTTACAAGATGGCCACAATCTCATTTCATTGTTGGAAGTGCTATCCGGTGAACAGCTGGTAAGTTAATCAAGTCAAGCAACAATAAAAAATATTATTCATTTGACCGTCGTTAATAATTTTGTTTTGTTTTTTTCTCTAGCCCAGGGAAAAGGGCCGGATGCGGTTTCACATGCTTCAGAACGTTGAATTGGTTTTGAATTTCTTGCGTTACAAAAAGGTATGTATTTTATATTGATATTAAATTTTTCTATGATATTCTTTACATATGGATCTATAGTTATTGTTGTGTGCGAATCGACGAAGCATCTTTTAAGCCTTGTCTGCACTTGTAGACGTTGAGCTATTTCGGCGCATATGGACTCTACGAGATCAATGATAGTATGCCCACGGTTTCCCATTCAGAATATTAATAAAGAGGTCTAACGTTCAAAAAGTTGCGTAACACTTCAGGTCCAGTTTCAGAAAGTGGGTATGGTTTATGAGATGCCCCTTTGGTCTCTCCCGCCTCGACTTCCAGTTTTACTTTCACTTACCCATATATGAAATATGTTTAAGGGAGAGTATTTCGACCGTGAAAATTTTCAAATCCGAGTTTTTAACGAAAATACATGTTTTAAGACTCCTTGAGTCCAAATAACAAAGTCTCAGAACATTTTGCATGTTTATCTAAGTACATTTTGTGTGTGTATATGAACGGCATAGCTCAAAAACAGAAAGATAAGACACTGAAATTATTTATTTATCCGATATTCAGGAACTTTATGTTAAAATCAACTTTGCGGAAGTTCCACTTCAATCCGTAGCTCTTATTCTCATTAAAATAGTCGGAAAGGACTCAAAAACCAATTTTTCAAAATTTCATTATGTACCTTGATTTTCTCTATTAAAAATAATTAATGGTCTCTCATTGTAAAATAAAATGTCTAAATATGAGCGATAAATGAATTTGGCTATTAACTAAAGCAAAAAAAAAAAGATATGTTTTCGCAGGTTGAAAAAAAAAATAATACAATCTGGAAATAAGAATAATTATATCGTTTAATAATGAGATTTTATAAAAAAATAATATCTAACATGCAAAGTCGTAGAAAGCAACGGATAATGCCGAAAACCGAATGATTTTAATTCTTAATAATGTTTATTTTAATATTATTGAATGGAAAAATAAAGGTTTTCATGGAAACTAAATGGAATTTCCGCAAAAAAAGAATTGGGAATCTTAAATTTAATTTCGGCTTGACAAATCAAAAATATGTAGTGCACCAAATTATAGTATATATATATATATTCATTGCCGTAAGTTTGCATTCATAATTAAAATAATATTCTTAGGTTTTTAATCAATCCTTATAATTACAATTTTCAAAAAAAGGTGTTGTACTTTTATCCAAAGGAAATGCAAATTAATTGACGTATACATTTTTAATGGCGAACGATATTTTTTATTAAACCTGTGAGATAATTTATTTGCGTTATTTTCGAAATTAACGTCAAGTTGTAGGTTTTGTGTGGGAAGGAGCCAGATCGTGGTCGGAGTCGAATAACAGGAATCCACACAAATATAAAGCTCCCCATCTACCGTTCTTGCACGTTTTGGGGCATTTTCGCTCAGAAATATATATATTTTTTTAACCGAATTACGGCTTGTAAGATTTCTGTGTGAAAATTGCAAGAACCGTTGATGATGAGCAGCTTATGTATGTGGTGGATTCCTTTATATTCCTGTATTTAAAATATTAAAATTTATATTTGGCTTTTTTTTGTATTTGAACCTGTTTTTTTCTTATTTTGACAATGATTATTTTAAACAGATACATTTTCTTGAAAAAAACTAATATCACAGGATGATTAAAAAAAAAAAAAAATTACATGTAAATCACGCGTCACATGTTGTGTTTCATAAAATGGAAAATATTGTTTTTTACTTCTATATTGTTTTTTTTTTAATGCACATTAGGTGCAACATTATAACTCAAGTGTGGTGTTTATTGTTCATGAAATTTGATTTTGACTCTGAATATGAAAAAATATGAGGATCTTAATCAGGGTAAAATAAAGTTGATGACGATAGCGCACCACACATTACCGTTTTAAAATTTAAATTTCACATGAAAAATTAAGGGTAGTGCATTGGAACCATTTCGATCTATCTTATAAAATAAGAAAAATAAATATGTGCTTTGTTTTAGGTGAAATTTTTATAATACTATAACATAAGGCTATTTTTTTTGTCTTAAATCTGATTATGGACTGGACTACATGCAACAAGCATGATTAAATAAAATTGCTTACTAGCCGAAACGTAGTTGATGTAGATTGAAATAAATATGGTGAAGAAATAATATTGAAAAATAAATGAGAAAGTATATTTAGAAGAACCCCTTATAAAACTCCGCGCTCGATTTACTCACCTCGTTTTATTAATACCAAAATATACGACATAACAAAAAATGTCTCAACATTACCATATGAACAATTTGAGACATTTTTGTATATTCAATCACAGTCACCGCCTAGACTGTCTTATGATTGTTGGAGAAGATTAATGTTATATTCGTTCCATTTTGTTACTGACCACAAAGTATGTATAATCATCTCAGCCATGGACCTGCCTTATTACTATCATTGAGGCTTCTCCCCCCCCCTCCAAACTAATCCAGTTGTTTTTCAATTTTTGTTTTATATTACGTTGTTTTTTTATCAAAATAAAATTTTTTAAAAATACCGGCAAATTCTACAAAAATATCCGGTATGATATTAATTCTAAATTTAATATTAAACATTTTGAAAATTTCAACTTCAACATTTTTCTCAATACTTTTTTTTTTTTAAATATTTTTATTGAAGCTATGATCAGCAGTTTCACCCCTATAAAATTTAAACTGTGCCATTCTGTTTCATAAAGATGGGTACATGAGCAATATTTATATGGAATAGTGTTACCCAAATGCGAGACCCAGACGAGTCTTGGTCTTGCAAACTCATTTTTGTCATGGTCTTGGTCTTGCACAAGAGTCTCGCAACAGTCTTACAGTACTGTATTTTGTAGATAGGAGAAACCTAACTAAGCCTGAATGAGAAATTAGAGGAATTAAATGCAAAACTATATTGGATATATCTATTATTTACATATGTTACTATATAGTAACTAAGATTGTCGAGTATTAGTAACTATTTTGCCTTAATATTTTATTAAAAACATCGATATTTTTTACCAGTCCTGGCCTTGGTCAAGACCAAGACCGATTTTGGGCAACACTAATATGGAATTATATGAATGAAGTTTATTTAGTAAATAAAAGGACCTATCCGTAAAAAAAAAACAAAAAAAAAAACATTCGATGGATTTATAATTACTTTTTTTACTACGGTATATTTGAAACTAAATTAAATACTTTTAAACTATATTGCTAGTTCTTTTTACCAGAGCATTTCCCGGCAACCTGAAATAGATAAGTAATGAATCATGCAGTCCGTGATGTCAGTCAGTGATATCAACTATTTGACTTCAATACGCTTAAAAGTTATTCTTAGTTATTTAGTTTTGGGGACTTCAAAAGACATTTGCGGAAAATTCAAACCTAATTACATACAGTTTTCCAGATTGATTGTCGTTTTTTTTATTATTACTATGGTCGCTTGGGTCGTATTGTGATTTAAAGCTCCAAGCCTTCCTCAATGCAATATCTGTCTATCTTTAAAAGAATTATTCAAATTAGTACGATAAAAAACAAAACAAAAAAAACCAACTAGCTTTAAATATTAGTATGTATTAACCCAAGAGTTTATATTCATTAAAATTGATTTGGATAGCTATCACTGTTCGGGATTATGAACAATAAAACCAGAGTATCATACAAAAATAAGTTTATCTTATTATTAAAATATTATTACTAGTATGAATATTATTGTTATAAATATTTTCACTAATATTTTATGCCAATAAGTTATTTTCATTTTATATTTTTATTTGTTCAATGTAATTTGAGTTCTACCAATGGGTAGTTTCTCTTCATGTTGTACATGCCATGTTACCAATTTCTCATTTACTTATTGTATTCTCTATGTAATACAGTTGTAAATTCCATTAAAATAATAAAAAATAAAAAAAATGTTTCAATGTACTAAAATTGATAACAATATTTTGATTGAATTGTATGTGTGGTATGAAACTAAATTGTTAGTTAATCAAAGAAAAAAAAAGCCTTCTTAGAAAAATGTAATTACGGTATTTTGAGTTCATTCAAAGAAATCTATCCAAATTAGTATATGTATGTATATTGTTTGTGTAAAATTGGTATGGTGTCTAGTGCTTGTTTGATTGCTTTGATCTCGTTTTCTGAAATAATTATTTTCGCCATCATCCCAATTCTTCTAGGTGTTTTGTTTGCGCGCGTGTGTGTATAGAATATTGCGGAAACGGGACTTTCACTATAAGACAAGCTGCATTGTCCCCCCACGGCAACTGTGCCAAGGTCTTCTTCAGCTCTCGCTTTCTACAGTACTCGGGATTCAACTAATTTAAAAAGTAAAAAATAATTTACCCCTTAACACACACAAGTATAGCGCCAATATTGCGATTTAGATCAAAACCATTTGCTGTTTAAACCTTGTTCTTAAATTCCACGGGTTTGTCAATATTTTTTTTGTTTAGCTTCAAAGAATTTGTTGGAGGAAAAAAAAAATTTCTTTTCTAAGGTTAAGGCAAATGTACTTCCAGTTTTCTTTAGTCTTTTTTAATCACATCTGACAATTTTTCCATCCTCATAGAATTCCTTGTGTTTACTGTAAATGTACACATTTGAAATGAACTATTATTACATTGTTAATCTACTCTATTTATTGTCTAATTATTTACCTTGACTTTGTGATTTTTCACCAATTGTCAAAAATTAAAATAATTGTCATACCTATTTAAATATAATACTTTTTGGTGTTACACATTCATTTTCTGTCCATTATCACACCAACCGACATCTGGCTACCTCCAGTTCCATTACTGGACTTTTCTATATAAACCGCATTACTGCAGTATATAATCCGAAGCTTCCTAGAAAAAGAAAAATAAGAAGATAATAATTTTATTTTTTTTTTTGCTATACCGAATTTGAATATGATTTTCTTATTCTTTACCACGTACAGTTATTTTCTAAATTTAAAAAAGATTATTAAAATATTAAACTTTGAATAAAAAATTCAATTAGGAACCAGAAATAATCAATAATTATCCGGTTGCCGACTTAGTTCTTTAGAATTGTAACTTTCAAATTCTACGATACTCCCAAGTCGATGCAAGGTTAACTAGATTATAACAAGCTTGAATGACTTTTGTTTCATTCATTGGCCATGTGGAATTATATTTCAAAAAGTTGGTTATTAATAAATTTAGTATTAATAATAAATATCACATATATTTGATCATTTGTTCAGTAATCATACTAGATTTTTTTTTTAAAACCATTTATCAAATAAAATTGAATAATAATACAATAGTACACGCTCGCGCACGCGCTTGTACAGACATACACGTCTGTTTCATACACTTATACATGACCAAGTGCGCCTCATTAACTGAATAATATCTAAAATTTGTGTGGGAAAACAAAATAATCATTCAATAAAAGTCATGGTGTTAGTAGCACCCTCCCCTCCACTTCCTAAAGTTTCGTTCTTTGACGATCTCTTCGGACAAAGAAATATAGGTCCTCGTGCTGCTGATTGCCAGATTGGCCCCTGGCGCTTGGGCTATGGAACTGTGGGTGGCCTGCTGCTGGCTATCTGTGCTCCCACAAGCAATATAGATAAATAGATAGAAAATCTAAAGCTTTATTCTGGGCCAAGATCCCTCAAGAATAACAATGATGATCAAAAAACATAGACCATATCTAGCCAAAAACTATATTAATAAAAATTATATGTTTATAAGAAGATCACAGCCAAAGATCTGTAACATGGATATAACAAAAAAAAAAAAAAAATTATATTTTTTAGTTTCACTCATATATCAAATATATGTAATGTACTTAAATGAATGTTTATATATTTCAAAGAAAGTCTTGAAATCGTAAAGTCTCGAATCAAAGTTTTCAATGGGAACACGTGTTTCAAGATCCTCTGATTAAAATTACGTTTCGCAAAAAGGCGTGTGCGTGAGCGTGGGTTTGTGCCTACGCGCATTTGGGTGTGTGTGAGTGTGCACGTTAACAGCATAACTCAAAAACAGATGGCCTTATGGCACTGATAATAATTATTTAAGATAGGTATATATTGTATATCTGGAATGCTACTGCACCTTTTTCGCTAAAATCAACTCACTGAAAATGTCACTTTATATCATAATATTTTAAAAATAGTTTCGAAAAAGGCTATTTTGACTAAAGTCATATAAAATTAAATAAATGGCCTTAAATATCGTTTAGGTCTTATTCTCATTAAAATAGTTTGAAAGGGCTCAAATTTTTGTCAGAATTTTTTCCTCTAAAATACTTTAAATTTGGTTTATTAGAAATAATTAAATCTTTCTCATTGGTAGTAGTAATACAAAGTGAATAATGGGAGTAATATTTTTGCAGTTAAAAACAAATTTTCGGAAATAAGAGTAAATGTATATGTTTGATATTCAATTTGAATGACCTGTTGAACAAATCCGTTACCTAGGACTCCGTCTGGACAAACGTCTAACTTGGAATCCTCATACCAGACTGAAACGACAAGAAACCGCTCGACGTTTCCGACTACTTCAACACTTACTAGACAAACGCTCTAACCTTCCAATCAATTATAAAAGACTGATTTACATGACTATAATAAGGCCTATTTGGACTTACGGGGTTGAGCTATGGGGCTCCACAAAGCCTTCAAATTCCTCTCGCATACAGTCCTTGCAATCCAAAATCCTTCGTAAAATCCTCAATGCTCCTTACTTTGTTACAAATAAAATTATCCATAATGACCTTAATGTTCCTTATGTATCAGATTTGGCCCAATCCAGATATCTGTCCTTCCATAATAAACTTCATAACCATCCCAACCCTCTTGTCTCTAACGTTGCTTCCTATTCGATTCCTGATAACCCTCCGAGGCGTCTGAAAAGAAGATGGCCACGTGATCTTCTCATATAGACATATTATTAGAGTGCTACCAATGGGTAGTTTCTCAACATGTGTTCCATGTCTTTATACCAATGTGCGAATTTACCAGATGTATTTTTTGTATACAGTTGTAAATATCATTTAAAATAAATAAAAAAAAAAAAATTTGAATGATGAATATTTTAGAAAAATTAATACCTAACATATATGTTCGTAAAAGGTTAAAGAGGGTAACGAAAAGCTAATGACTTTTGATGTCTGTAGTTAATAGTTTCTATTTTATTAAAATAACATTTCTAATGTTTATTAATTAAAAAATAAATATTTTCTACTGAAAGTTGGTTGGTAAGTGAATTTTTTCTTTACCACTGTAAGAAAGAACTAAAAACAGCGTTTACCCTGATGGTGAGGGGCTACTCTTAAAAAAATAAAAAACTTAAAACCAGCTACTGTAGAAACTTTCTGTCATGTTTTTTTTTTTTTTTATTGTTTAGTTGTGTTTTTCGCATATATTTCTGATGTTATATAGTATATCAAATTCACTTGGATATATTCTAATAAAGTTAATGAAATATGCACGTATGATCCCTATAAACTAATTTATAATATAATTTAAATGATCAGGCCTAATTCAGATTTAAGGTGATAAAACTGCAGGGCCCATCTAGTGGTAAAATAATTATAAATAATCACACTTATAAAAATGTTTGTGGGTGGCGTTAACTTGCTTTCACGGATATGGAAGTAGAATTTTCTATAACGCCTAACACCTAAGTATATAGGGTCTATCAGTACATATATTTAAAATTAAAAATGAGAGTTTTCACTGGTCTCTCCACAAAGGAGGTTACAATTACTAAAAACTGGTATTTAATTCAATACATTTGGTTAAAGATATTTGATAATTATAATTACTTTTGCATCTTCTTAAATCTGTTGAAATTTATAATGATACCTTTATGTAAACTAATTTTTGTATTTTTCGTAGATAAAATTGGTCAACATAAGGCCAGAAGATATAGTAGATGGAAACCCTAAGTTGACACTCGGTCTCATATGGACAATCATCCTTCATTTCCAGGTAATGCATGCTTTTATATTTGCCTTTTTTTTATCTTTTTTTTTTTTTTAGGACTTTTAAATTATTGGATTTCCTCTGGAGCTCCTTCAAAGGTGAACTTATTTCCACTTCTTATTGTTTTCAAAACAATATAGTCTGTTTCAGATTTAATAATAATTAATATGACAGGAAATTCGGCAGGTTGATGAGTTGAGCGTTTAGTATTAATCTAGTGACCGGATCATAATGAATGTGAATTGGTTTGTAAAATTGGTTGGTAGCTAGACGCCACGGTCTGTTAGGCGTTGACAAATGGACCGTGGCTTTGAGTAATCTCGCAGGTGGCACGTCTCCATACGCTCATTCATGAAGAGATCAGTTATCAGATAGCCTTAAGTCGTGTTGAATGTGCCATATCGTGTAATTTTTAAAATATTTGTTGTTTGATTTTATAATGACTGCATTATTAATAGTTTTTCCATGGTTGGTAGTAGTCAATTATCCATTCATACCCTCATCATATTTTAAGCTGTCAATTTTTTTTTCTCCGAGATCAATTAGTATTTTCCATCAAACAACGCACAAAAACATCAATTACTATATTTCATTAAGAAATATTTAAATTTCGAATTTATCCTTGAAGTGGTAGTATATAAAAGGTTGCTTTGTTGTATATATTACAATTTATGATAACCGAATTCTAAAATTTAGCATCAGCTCTTATGTACTGCAATTTATGATTGAATTCACTCATAATATAGGTATTTAAATTTCATCTTAATTATTTGAGGAATTGGCTGGGGGTGCGGTCAATATATAATACTATGTTTTACAGGATTTTATTGTATTTGCCGACGTTTGTTTCGGCAAATGTTGTAGGTCGTTGTAGGATCAATGTTCTAGGACCTATAACGTAGGTCGAAACCTCGGCAAATACAGTAAAATACTATTTTAATATATAGTATTATATAATGACCACACCCCTGACCAACTCTTTCACAAATTATAATCATGCTCAACCATCTCCACACCTTCAGTTTAATTATAATGTAAAATATTTTATAATTTATTGAAGGCATTGAATGCATTATTTTAGGGTTCCGTTTGAAATGAAGTATTTGTCTTAACTTTTCTAATGAGGGAACAGGTCTGGCGGGTCCTAGTTTCCTCTTTCGAGATGGATCGATACCTGCGGAATGTTAATGTTAATTATTTTAACCAGTTAGGACAAAATTATTTTTTATTATTTCTAATGAATATCTCCAACATTTATTTACTGGATGTTTGTTGAGTAATGTAGGTCAAAGGGTTGGTTGTCCGCCTTTACGCAACTACAGCTGTGGGTGTCTGCAATTGCTCAATACAAGACGCCATATGGTCGCATTCCCTGACCTCCCCCCTTCTTTTCAATACCATATCTAACAGGAAGGTTTGATCAGTCGAATTAGTGAAAACATATTGTGGAGAGAAATTGTTTCCCGGTAGTCTTCAAAATCACTTGAAGTAAATTGCATAATAATGGACGTTGCCTTTGCTAATTACTTAAAAAAATAATGGTAGAGTAAAATAATATTTAAACAAATAAAGTTATTTACATTTGTTTTTGTTGTAAAAATAAAATAGGCAATTCTTTGTTATTTTTCGATTACTTATTATTAATATTCATCATCATCATAGTCATTCTGTGTTCTACCGTTGTTCGGTGTGAGGCTCTTGCTTATAGAGTCTCTCCTATCCTTAGTTATAGAGTCCTGCTTATCCTATCGCTCCGTGTCTTTCTTTCTATTTCCCGCAGATACCTCATTTCCATGGCTTGTATCTGATTTATGTGTTTTATGGTGAGGGTCCACGATTCTGAAGAGTACGATAGGATAGGTAGGAATGTCGATTTATAGACGGATAGGTTGGTCCGCTTTGACACCTCTCTTCTTCCCAGAAAACCCCGTCTGACCATACTGAACAGTTCATATTCTTAAATTATATTTTCTGTATTGATGATAGATAATGCATCTAATGTATTCTATGTTGATAATTGTGATTTTTCTTAATATTATTTCATTCTATTACTTTACGTTTTGTTTTTATTCTATATAAAATGGCATAGTTTTGGATTTATGTATTTGAGGCACCCCTAGGCCGAGTCCCTCTCTTGTGAGGGGTGTGTGAAAATGAACATGAACATTTTGTAATTTATATTTTAAAAATAATATTTTAAAAAATCAGATTAAAAAAAAATTAAATTTACCTTTTGTGTTGATGGCTAGATACAAATCGTCACATATATATAAATTGTCATGCTTTTCTCTAAAAGACCTTCACTTACATTATTTCTGTTTTAACCAATGTAGATAGAGAGAAAAATAAAGAAAAAATTAAATGTGTCAAACCAAAAGACTACATTTACTTTTAATTAAACTGTTAGTCTTAAATTAAGATTACAGGATTTATAAGGATCTGTTTGGGATGTGAAAGGGTTTTGAATGAAAATAAGGAAAGAAGATTTGATAAGCTTTGTGAATATTAGAAAGGAGATAATTTAGCACTGAGCCATTGGGGAGGGGAGATACTAAAATGGGGGCAGAGATGTTCAATCGCTAGCTGAGTATCAGTACCAAGTATTTTACTCAAATTTAATTACTACTTCAGTTAATCGTTTGACATCAAATAAAGTATTAAATAAATTCTTTCGTACTCATTATTCGGAGTTGCATTTTCCCATCTCTGACTGCCAATAACCCAAGATGGTCACTAGTTACATTTGATTATTAAAGCCTATGGTCCTATTAGGTAATAGATCCATTTTAATTCGCGAACTTTTAATAAGGATCAAATCAAAAGCTTATTTATTATTTTATTTTCAACTTTTTGGCATTTATTTAATAATATATATTTATAAAAATAAATTGAATATTTTAATTAAGTTTTCTACAACAAATGCGTCGTCAAACAGAACGAAAGACTGCTATTTTAAAAATATTTGACGGATTTAAAATACTTGATTAAACTAAACCGATACGTGTAATATATATTTACGAGCTGTATTTTTGGAGCACTCGTTAACAACCATTCACAACGAACGGTCAACCATTTAATAGAAAAAGCTTTTTGTTATATTCTATCTTATAGCGATTACAGTCTGATATCTGAATAATTTAATATATAATTTTCGGTGCCTACCCACTTAAGAGATAGATTTCATCACCAAATACCCTATAAATCTTTAAACTTTTTCAAAGCCTGCTTTGGGCTTATGAGTATTACAATAATCTATTGGATTCGCTTTTTTAGGACTAATAGCCACTTGATCCTAGAAGGAAAGGATTCTTTGATTAATTACATGGCCTTATCTTGGTCAAACGCATTCCGCTCCTGGTCAAGTCAAGGACCCATCCTTCCTCGATACTGCAAAGAATTCTAAAGATGGTGTGAACCCTTGAAAGGGAAACACGAAAACGTTGTCTAGCTAACTGATCATTACCTGTAATTTAAGTTTGTGCCTAGAGAGCCATACTAGTGTTAAATATTGTAGAGTAAGATGAAGAATTCAATGCCTGCTTTCAATCACTTACCAGTATTGAATTTTCCTTTAAAAATTCAAGAGGTCGAAGAACTAAATCTTTAAATGGATAATAATGCGTGCTCAATCGCAGTTAATAATGTTAGAAGTTATATAACTATATTAGCTAAAATACCATAAATAAACTAGATAACTTTTTGAAATATCTAAATTAATATCCTTCATAGAGCTTTGGAGCCTATTAGGCTTTTGCATCCTTCCATGATCCATTTGTGTAAGAGAGCAGGGTTTTTTTTTTCCGGTTTCTACTATAACTTATTACTTTAGTTATGAGTACTAACCCCGAAATCTAAGGCTAGAGATTAAATCGAGCGGAACAGTTAAGATCTAACTAAAGACCAGTTATTAGTATTGGATTAAATGGATTTTGAGCTTAAAATGAATGCCGTCGTGCCATGCATTATCAAACGCTTATGCTATGTCGGAAAACTCAAACTTGTTTAGAAAAGATTTTTTGTATTTTAGTATAGTATATAGGTTTCATTGGCTGGTAACCTGGTTTAAAAAGCCGAAAAAAAAAAATAATAAGAAGAATAGAGAGATAATTATGGAGTATTTTCACATGTGAGGAAAGTGAGCAAGAAAATAATTAACGAGGGATTTAGAAAGTGAGGATCCGAGCGTTTTTCGGGGTTTCAACTTCATTATAAGGGATTTCATTTCGAATTGGTTGACAGTTATGGGAGATAGTTATGAATCGGGGAAGAGAAAAAAATCATTAATTTCAGCGGTTGGGTTGGGGTGGAGATCCGGATGATGAATAAATTAGTTGAATAGATCTTTGTTCTACTGCTCTGTTCTCATCTGATGAAGACCAGGAACCATCGTCAGCATACACACAATAGAGTAGTTTAGAACCGGAACTAGAAAGGGGGCATAAACCCTTGTATGCTGAATTTAGGGTACTGTGATTTTGAAGGACATTGTATTTATTTATTTATTGAATAATATAACAATCTGTCACATGGACATTGGTTATAGGTAGGAAAGATAACATTCACACATTTATTAAGTTAAATAAAATATTTGTCTATGATTTTTGACCTTAATTTAGTCAATAAAATGTGCTTTGTAATGCTATGATCTGTTGGTATTTATTTGAAATATATTAGTTCCAATTCTGTTATAAAACTATTGCCTTTTGTAAGAGAGGGGGGAGTGAAAAAAGTGGCGACAAAATTAACAGCAGTAGTTTAACGCCTGGACCTTTGTCAAAGAACATCGCGTTAAATTAGGTCCTAGGATTTTTTAATCAATCGAAAAAGCATGGGTGTCCAGAAGGGGGTTTTATGGCGCCATCGAAATTTTTGAGAGGGCACTTTCTGATGGGGTTTTGAATTTTTGAGTGGGAGACATTTCGATGGATTTATGAATTTTCGAAATGAGAAGTTTCAAACCAGGGAATAAGAGGAGACAAAGAACAGACCTCTGAAAGTGTCATGGT